CTTGCGCAACCTGCGGTTTGTGAGAGATTTCAGCATGCGCGCGCGACGGCGCGCGCGCGTGCACTTCGCCCAATGTGATGCAAGGGCTTCTTGGAAACTGATGGCTCGTCATAAACGAGCGCGCGCGCATTCGGTTTTTGACAAAAGGATGATGGGGGAGCGATAAGCGTTTGCATGGGACTGATTGAACTCATTCTCCGGGTGGGCGATGGGGCAATATCACATGCACATTGCAATGCGATGGAACTACGCGCTAATTCCGTAATAGGGGGGGAGAGGTAGATCCCCATGTTCTTGTAGAAAAGAGAATCTACGTGAAGCAAAATATGCAGCACAATTGATTACCCTGCACCGCGCTTGACCACCCCCAAGACTCTTGCAAACATCCCACCCACCCACCCGCAATTTAGCTTGCAAAGCCCATAAGGCGGCGATTGCGATGAGTGCTCGGCGTTGGCTTGAGCGCTTGCAAAGCCCATAAGGCCAATTTGATACGCGAGCACGCGCGCAGAATAGTGTTTGCAAATTGGGGGGGGTCCAGCCTTCCTGCGGTGGTATGAAATTCGCATTTAGGATGGACGATGGGGCAGAAACGCATGTAAACTGCATTACAAACAAGTGCACTGTTAACCCGTGGGGGGATGTTGATATTCTGTAAGACGCGAGAAGCTGCACGGTGCGCGACGTATGCGGCGGAATCCCCGTGGTGATTCATGGGGTGCCATCTATGTGTTGTTATCTATGCGGGGCCCGATGACTGGTAGAATATATGTGGTGCGATCTACGCGGCGCAATCGACCGGTGCAACCCACGTTCTGCAATCAATGTTGGGCGATAGATGTCGAACCATATATGTTGTGCTACCTACGTGATGCAATATATGTGGTGCGATCGGTTTTCAGAAACGAATGGACAAATTCCATGCCCTTGAAAAAAAAACACCCACCCAGCCGCAAGCTGGTTTGAAAAATCCATGCGGCGGCGATTGCGATGAGTGATTGGCGTTGACTGGTGCATCTCTGCGGCCGCGCTAGCCCGCGCATGCTCGCGCGCGCAGCGGCCAGCTAGTTTGGCGCGACCGACGCGGCTGCGGTGGCGCTGACCGCTAGGCAGCGGGCGCTGCAGTGCGAGTCGGAGACTTGGGCGGGTGCTGCATCATGGCGACGCCGACAACGGTAGACGCGATTATGAGCACAGCGATGATGAGGACGATGGTGGCGAAGGCGACAGCACGGCCAATGACGGCGCCGATAATGATCACGCCCCCGATAACGATGACGATGTCCTCGCGTCGGTGATGAGGATTTTTGGAAGAATTCGACACGCGCGCGCGGCCGACGCGCGCGAGTGGCCCGCACGGCATTTTTTGGCACGGATCGCGCACCCCCCCCACCACACCTCCCCAGCACGCGCGCCAAGGCGTTCGAATGAGTTCGACTCGCGGCACGGGTCCGTTTGGCCGAAGTTGATGAACATGCTGGAAAACCAACGTTTTTGGGTATGAATCCGAAAGACCGCGAGCACCTTGAAAAAACATACGGGGATTGCAAAACCATGTCATGTTTTATCTGTTTCTGCGGCACTCGATTTTGATATCCCAACTGGCCCTAAGGTGTTTGAAATATGTCGGCATGCGCGCGCGACGACGCGCGCGCGCATTTCGTCCCAGCTGTTGCACGGGATTCTTGCGACAGCACGCGCGCAAGGGCGCTCGAACGATTTCGACATGCGCGCGCGAGAGGCCAGTTTGGTGGCATTGAATGAGCATAAAGAACCTATGATTTTTATCGCGAGCGAAAGCTGCTTTCGAAATTTCATGTTGCAAAACCATGTGTATATGTTTCGCGACATTCGATTATGAAATCCTTGCGAAATTTTCGGTGTTTGAAAGATTTCGGCATGCGCGCGCAACGACGCGCGCGTGTGCACTGCGTGATTCGCTTCGCAGGGGGTTATTGAAAACAAATGATTTCTGATCTGCGAGAATGCGGGCATAATAGTTTTGCCAAACATGGCAGGGAAATCGATAGCGGCTCGGCTGGGATGGTACGAGCTCATATTTAGGATGGGCGGTGTGGCAGAATCGTATCTAAATGACATATCGCGACGGAGGATCGTTAACTCTGGGGGGGGGGAGAGATCGTTGTCCTCGTTGTGCTATTCAGGCGGCGACAGGGCGGCGACAGCGACAGCATTGCGACCAGACCGACAATCAGGCCCAGACGACGGGCGGCGACGAGGCGGCAAAGGGACGGCGACGGCGACAACATAGACCGACATGCGGCAAAGAGGCGACGACGAGGCGACAACGGCGACAGCAGAATGTGTAACATAGCCGCCAGACCGACAACACCCCCAGCTCCCCAGGACAGAAGCAAGAACCCCTAAGTGCAAGCACTGCGTGGGGAAACTTATGTGTGTATCTACATATACAGACACTGCGCTTTCTTATTATTCGGAGGGCCCCAGAAGTCTTCGTGGCGATGATCGCCCCACTGCTGCCGTCCACGCCGCCCACCCCGGGCACTGCCGCAGAGGAGGACCTCAGCCAGGGGGGTCGCCCACTCCCCGAGGAGGACCCCCAGATCGACCAGGGGGCCCGCAGCCGGGCGAGGACGCCCAGCTCTTAAAAAAAAAAAAACGGAAGGCGCCAGCTCAGGGCACCATCGGTGGCGACACCCCACCCTCGGTAGAAGCCTCCCAGATGGGGCAGGAGTAGATGGGGTCGGGGGATCGCGCTGTATCGCCAATGTGTCACCGAGGCACCGGCGATGCCTCCGCGACGTCGGCGGCGTGCAGCGGCGCCGTCGGCGCGGAGAGAAGCCGTGCCCCACATCGAGCCGAACGTGTGATGCATCGGCGATGCGGCACGATCCTCCGCGAACTCCTCGGCGAACGTGAACCCCGACCAGGAGGCCTCCTCCTCCTCCTCCTCCTCCTCCTCCTCCTCCTCCTCCTCCTCCTCCTCCTCCTCCTCCCACTTGCACCGAGAGAGACCTCCAGAAAGGCCCCCAATCGGCACGATGCCCGGCAGCAACTGTTGTCCAAAACCGACAGCGGCCGCCGTCGGGCCGGCGGCCTTCTGCCTCCAGTGGGCCACGCCCGGAGTGGCACCTCCAACGAGCCCTGTTCAGAATGGACAAGATCTGGTGTCGGCCTTCGTACCCATTATTTCCGCGCTCTGCGTTTGGCAATAAGCGCGGGGGGGATCCCCCCCAGACGGGGTCAACGTCAGCCTGTCCGCGCGGCGCGACGGGGGTCGGATTCGCCCCGTCGGCGCACCGCGCGGGAAGGAGGGAAGTCATTTCTTGCGTGGCAGCGTCTGCCAGCGTCAGGGGTCGACTTCGGGGGGGGGGGGGGCGCCCCCCACCCCCACCCCCACGCTTGTTCCCACACGCAGGTTACCCATGTCTGAGCATGGTTTAACCGATCCCTATCCCCACTGACGTGGCATGGGGGCCCCACTGGCAGATATTTACCCCCTTATACCCCTTCGGAATTCGAGGGGCATATCTCCAACTGGGCGGTGGGAGAGTGGCGATCGCGGTGGGGATGGGGCTCCCCAGACCCCGACCGTCGTGATACGTTCGTCATGACGACCCCTGGAGGTCTCGACTCATTCCCAGGAGCTCGTTCTTCATCCCGAAGCGTTGAATGGCAAAGACCCCCCGAGGCAGAACACTTGGAAAGACCCTCCGCCGCGATGTTTCATGACTCGAGGGGGTCTGGGTCGGCTAAGCGATGCCGCATGTCTTGGCGGCGCGCCCAGGGAGGGAAATTTCGAAGGGGCGGGCCTTCTCAGAAGGCTCGGAAGTCCCCCGGCCTTCTGAGAAGTTTTCTGAGCCTTCCCCGCAGACACAACAAAAACTTCTCAGAGGGCGCGAGGGCTTCTGAGAAGGCCCGCCGCCTTCTGAGAAGGCATTCTCCTTCTCATGTTCTCCCCCCTCGCTCGCCGCCGAATTTCGGTTCACCCGACCCTCCCGACTCGAGGGGATCTGCGTCGGTTAAACGATACGCATGTCTGGGGAAACTCAAAGGTACCGATACCGCTGCTCCCCAGACCTCTCCTGAAGAGAGTTCTGACCAGGATTTCGAAGCGAATCTGGCGGTGGCGACGAGGGCCTCCCAGGAGGCCCCAAAATAGGAAAACAAGGGGAGGGTAGCCGTATGGGTACCTTTTCCTCCTCCGAGCCCGAACCCCCGACGTCATGATTTTTTCATGACGCGACCCCCAGAGGTCCGCACCCATTCCCCGGGACCGGTTTTTTCGTCCTGAGCCTTTGTTTGACGCTCCCGAGGCCCGGCGAGGGCCCCCGGAGGCCGAAAACTGTGAAAATCCCGCCGCTCCATAATTTAGATGGGAGCGTCGGAGCTCTGGGAAGGGTAGCGGTGCGGGTACACGTCGTTCATTTCTGATCGTGCTCATGTGAAAGTGTGCTCGTTTCTAATTCTTCATGGCCCCCTAGTGGCCAGGGAGAGGCCCAGGACAGAACAATCAGAAACGAGAAGGGCCTGGCCCCCCCCAAAAAAAAATCAAAGAACTTTCGAAGAATCAGCAATGAACATTGTGTACCCATCGGTCGGAAGAAGTAGGTAGAGGCATGCAGCAGGAAGGCGCTGAAAGCAGATTGGGTCTCCGCCCGCCCCCCGAAGAGGGGTGAAGAGGGGAAGCCACTCGATCATTGAAGCAGGAAGGCGCTCAAAGTACATTGAAATCTGGGAATCCCAAAATACCTACTTTCGACGACCGATGGGTACATTTTTGAAGGGGCCCCAGGACACACAAATAAATACACACAAATAAACATATTCCCCATATTTTCGCATATTTTGTGGGTTTCTGTCTTCCCCCCCACTTCCCATATTTTCCCATATTTTCTGGGGGAATCGGAGATTAATTGTGTCTGTGTGTTTCTTTCCCTCCTGAATTTTGTCCTCCCTCTGACCCCACTCGCTGGCACTGCCCGTGGCCCACCGAGGAGCCGGGGGGGAGGCGGGGCCTCGCGCGGGCGGCCCCCGGGAACCGGGGGGGGGGCCCCGCGGCGGGCGCGGGCGCGGGCCTTCCCCGCCTGGCAGGGGGGCGCGGGGAGGGGGGGGGGAGCTCGAGCCGAGCTGCCGGCAGGGAGGCGAGGAGGGAGGGGGGGGGGGGAGAGGGAGGGGGAGAGGAGAGAGAAGAAGAGGAGAGGAGGAGGAGGAGGAGGCGGGAGGCGCGCAAGAGCACTGTCCTGAGGTCTCCCATCGCTCGATCGGCTCAACGTCGGAGAGCCTCGGAGAGTGTGTGAATCAGGAGAGCAGGCGGCAAGAGAGCAGGGAGAAGAAATAGAAGAAGGGAGCAGGGAGAGCAGGGATGAGGAGAAGTGAGTGAGTGAGGGACTGGATGAATGCATTGGGAGGGCGTCCAAATTCAAATGCCACAGAGTGCCGAAACGGCGCGCCTGTTGGGGTATCGTGCCCACTGCGACTCATACGGATTCACCCCAGCGCAGCAGCACACTGAGCACCGCTGAGCCAGGCATACGGCGCCCGCCTGATACACAACGGCAGCGGTGCGTTGCAGATGCAGCAAGGGGGACTTCTGTCATTCCCTGCTGCAGTAGAGGGGACCTACCTACTTAGGCGACGCCCCCTCCCGACGCTGTGATAGAATACGCTCTGCCTCTGCTAACACGTCATGATGTTGCCATCCACCGAAGGCTTGCCATGACTGCTGGATTACTCGATGCTCCGTCGCTGTGCCTCACTATCGCCCTACTTGCCAGCTCTTGAGCTGGGGTTCCGTCGCTCTCGTGAGCTCGTGCTTCGGTGCTGATCCTTGTCCCTCCTTTCACTCTCCTCCTTGGACGTCATGCACGTCGCGCGGCGCAGCACCTGAATCGCGGGCGTGTCGTCTACCATGTGCTTCGTCATCATCCTCACTTTCTCCATGCATGGCGTCGGGCGCGGTAAAATCCCACACGTTGAGGCGTAGACCACGACAGGGTCGGTCCCAGCGTGGTGTGGGGTGTGGGGTCCCACACGATGGGGCACCACACGACAGGGCCCCCCACGACAAGCTCCGGCAAGGTGGGGTTCCACACGATAGAACCCCACGCGATAAGGTCCGAACCGACTGGGTCCAAGACGAGCAGGTCAAACACGACAGGACCCTAGGTCCCGCACAACAAATTACGTTGCATCATCGGGGGCCTTGTTTACACCATCGCACCGCTAGCCGCATTGGATCCACGTCGAACGTCGAATCCGCGTCAACCGTCAAATCCGCGTCGAGTCCATGTCGAATCCGCGTCGAATCCGCGCCGATCCCACGTGGTATACAGCAATGATCACACATGTCACGACAGAGAAAGGTCCCCCGAAGATGCAACGCAAGAGAGGGTCCTGGGTCCCAAACGACTGGGTCCCACGGGTTAGGCTTCCACGCGATAGGGCTCCCTCCTTGACAAAACCTTGCTCTCGCACCCAGAATCAAGGGGAGGAAGGGGGAGGGGCAGGCAGAAGGGAGGGGGGGAATGAAAAGGAAGGCGGAAGAGGGGAAGGAGGCAAAGGAGGATTGTGTGAGGGGGAAGAGGGGGAGGGAGGAGTGGTGGAGGGGGGAGAGAGGTAGGGAGGCAGGGACCAGATGGAGGACGAGGAGCAAGGCGAGGGGGGAGGAGGAGGAGCGGCGGCAGGCAGCGAGAGGCGCAGGAGGGGGTGAGGAACAGGAGCAGAGAGGCGGCGGACGAGGAGCAGGGAGGAGGAGGAGAAGGAGGAATTAGGAGGTGGACGATGACGAAAGGAGAGGAAGAGGAGGAGGAGGAGGAGAAGGAGGAGGAGGAGGAGGACGAGGAGGAGGAGGAGGAGAGGAGGAGGAGGAGGAGAGGAGGAAGAGGAGGAGGAGGAGGAGGACGAGGACGAGGAGGAGGAGGAGGAGGAGGAAATAGGAGGGAGGAAGAGGGGATCGGGATCGGGATCGGGCCCGTGGGAGCTCGTCTGCTTCAGCATGTCACCTGCTGAGCTGCTTATCACATGCGACGCAGGGGAACTCTGGGGTGCGAAACATGCAAGTCCACAGAGAGTCTGATGCGGCCCGTGAGGAGGAGACGGGAGAAGAATGGAGAAGAAGGGAGGAGGAGGAGGAGCAGGAGGAGGAGAAGGAGGAGGAGGAGGGGGAAGACGAGGATAGGAGGAGGAGGAGGAGGAGGAGGAGGAGGAGGAGCAGGAGGAGGAGGAGGAGGAGGGGGATGAGGAGGACGAGGAGGAGGACGAGGAGGACAAAGAGGGGGAGGAGCGAAGGTGCGCAGGCTTCAAACGGACCCACGAGCAGAGTCAATCGGTGCGGAGAAAGCTCACTTCGGGCAAAAGCGGGCTGAAGCAGTGCGCCCGCGTTCGTGCGGCTCCATCTGCCGACAGGAACGTGGACGAGCCCTTTCCGCCCGACAACTTTCGACTGCGGGCTGAGAGGCGGGGGCCAGGTCATCAGCAGAGGCGCCTCTGAATCGGCCGTGCAGGCTTTGTACCGAGCGGCGCCATGGAGCTGTGGGGAGGGGCGGCGGGAAGTGAGACTGAAGGGGGACGTTTCAAGGGGCCCAGGGACACACAAATCAATAGACACTAATCCCAGGATGTCCTATATTTCCGCATATATTATTGGTTTTCGTCTTCCCCACATATTTCCCATTTTCCTCCTGGGAACCGACGATCAATTGTGTCTGTGTGTTTTTCCCTCCCTGAACGTTGGGGGACTGGCTCAGGCGGGCAAACATCGACTGGGAAGCAATGGTACATCGCCGATCGGCGAGAGACCTCCGAATTAGCGAATCCGCACGCTTCTGGGCGGGATGGGCTAATCAGCGCAATGAGCATTTGCGATTGCGCTTCGCGCGCATCCCCCCCTCGGTGGCAACTCATGGGAGCCTCCCATACCATCTTTTGTCGGCTCTTGCGAATCGACGCCGATCGACGCTAAATCGACGCTAATCGACGCTAAATCGACGTTGATCGACGCTAGCCGACGCTAAATCGGCGCTGTCTCATCGATGCCCAGACGCTAATCGTCGCTAATCGACGCTAAAGACGAAATTAAGAGGGTATACCAGACTCCCATGATTTGCTACCGAACCCCCCTGAGCCTGTCCCCCCTAACGTGGCCCCTGGCTGAACCAGCGGTCTAGGTCCAGGCTTCGTGTCGGGAGGCGCCATGGCGCTGTGGGGAGGCGCGGTGGGAAGCGAGACTGGATGCGGACTGCTTCTCCCCAGACATCCGGCCGCTCCAATTGTTGTTCGATGCTTGGGCCCAGAAGGTCCGGACCACTTGCCCAGGCCCGATTTTTCGTCCCGAGTCGTTTTTTGACGCTCCCGATGCCCGGCGAGGCAGAGGCCAAAAGCTGCCAAAATCCCGCCGCTACAATGTTTTGGGAGCGTCGGATCTCAAGGTCCATGCAGTCGCCGTGGGGCTCTCCACGAGCCAGGCGTACCGGTGCGGAGGTGCGGTGGGGAGTGAAACGGGAAGAGAGCGGATGCGCGCAGGGCCCCTCAGAAGCTCCGGAGCTGCTCCACGCAGGCGCCGTGGAGCTCCACAAGCCTGGCGTGCCGGTCCTCACGAGGAAGCCGTTCTTACGATCCCCACCCACCCGCGGAGCCCGCCCAGGTGAGTTCGTTGAAACATGCAGGTGCCGCCCTCCTGCGCCAGAGCGCGAGGTGTGGATCTATCCGGTAGGCAGTGGATGTGGGTATGTTTGGCCCCCCAGGGCCACCGAAGGCCCATGTGACAGGGCTCGCATGCGTGCCCGCGCCAAAACTGGCACATACACACACACACACACCTGCACACACACACACACACACACACACACACACGCACACACACACACACACACACACCACACGCTTCGTGGCCCCAAGGGGAGCTCCACCTGAAGACGGTGCTCACAACTGCGGTACACTCACAACTGCATCTGGCTGGGCCCTTCGCCCGGATGTCTGGCCCCCCGGGGCCCGAGTAGATGGCCGCACTCCACACCCACAGCCCGCTGGGGCCCCAGAAGCTCGATCCCCCAGACGGTGGTTATGGGTAAATCCCCGCCTCACACAGGAGGCGGGGGCGGCCCGAAGTACCCCTGACGTTTCGCGCTGCTCCTTAGCCCCGGCAATCTGCATTTATGGACCTGTGGTAATCTCTGCCAGCAAAGCTATATGAATCATACAGGTAAAGAACGGGTCAGTGCCAAAAACAACTTTCAGCATTACAAGACATGTTCAAGCAACTATCCACGGTACCCTCTGGGCCCCCGTGCGGGGTGCTAGGGAGGCCTCCCCAGGCCTGCCTGGAACAGCTGGAGACCCCGGGGCCCCCCCGGGGCCAGGGCCACCTCCCAGGCGATTTCAGCGAAGTCTTCTTCTTTGTGTTATTGGATTGCCACTACAATTTAAACAGTAGCATTACTCAAATTATTAATAATGATAGTATTACTGTTACTATGACTACTACTAGTTTGAATGATACTCTCATTGTTGCGTTAAAACTAATTGTGATATCATACACACAAGGTAATAATACCGATGTTCGTATTCGTATGACTAATGCTGTTAGAAATAGTTGTATGAGCACTAGTAGTGTTTGAACTGTTGCTGGTGCTGTTGTTATTCGTAACCACATTAATAGTAGTAATATCACTATTATCGCTAGTATTACCATTATTGTGTTCTGCATCCGCTGTATAGCTCTGATATCATGCTTGATAAGCCAGGACGCTGGCACGCCCGAGAAAGCAGCAGCCGTGGGTCGAGACCTTCTCCCATCCTTCGCTTCCTCCCCCTGGAGCTTGCAGACTCCTGCTTTGTGGTGGCCTGGTATCCGGGACCCCGACACCTCTGCATGGCAGCGCCCGATGCCGGTGCACGGTCCTCGATCGCCTGCGTCCGCGCCCGCTGCTCTCTTCGGTGCTCCTTCCTGCCGTGCAAGGTGTGCGGGCGCTGGGCGGCTGGCGCCGGCTTGCCTAGCAGGGCCTCGCCCGCCCTGGCGAGGCCGCCCTCCAGGCCGCCCAGCAGCTCCCTCAAGGGCTCCGCCGCGGCCGCCGCCGCTCCTGGCGCCCCGGCGAAGATCGCCCTGCAAGCCCGCGCCAGCCTCTGGAGGGCCATCCCCAAAATGCCCTGCGCCTCCATGCGCGCGGACGGCGCCTGCTCGCCGCGAAGGAAGGCGGCGGCAGCGAGCGGGCAGAGGAGCCGAGGAGGAGGAGGAGGGGAGGCCGCTATCTCCGCCTCGCTGGGCGCGCGGGACAGCCTTGCGGCAGCCCTCGCGGGTAGTGACCCGGGGCTGGCCCCGCTGGCCCGCTGCAGGCCCGCGGCGCTTCTGGAGGTTTTCCGCGCGCCCCCGCCGGGGCTGCCGCCCTGGCCGCGCTGCAGCCTCGCGATGCGCTCCAGCTTCGCCGACAGGGCTGCAGCCCTCTCGCGGGAGCCCTCGGCCTTCCTGACCCTCCTGTCGAGGATGCGGTGCTTCAGGCCCTCGGCCACGTCGGCGGCCGCACTGAGGAGCATGCTGCCGTGGTCCCCAGGCGCCCGCTCCGGCAGCCGCGCAGACCCACAGCCGCTCACCCCGCCGCCAGCGGCGAGGCCCGGGCACCGCTGCCCTTCGCGCTGGGCGAGCACGCCGCCGGGCCTCCGGCCTCGGCAACGGCTCGCCGCCGCCTGCGCGGCGGCGGCGGCACCAGCCGCCCGCGGCGCGCCGCAGGCGCGGCCGCCCGCGCCGCCCCGAGCGCTGCCCGCGCCCCCAGCGGCCAGCAGGGCGGCCGTCAGCGCGGCACCGGCGAGCACGCCGGGGCCCTCCGCGCTCGCGACCGGCTCCTCGGCGGCGCCGCGGAGCCTGCCGGCCCGCGCGGCGGCGGCCGCGCGCGCGGCGCGCGAGCCCGCGGCGCCGCGGGCCGGCGGCCCGCGCAGAGGCCACGCCCGAGCCGCGGCAGGGTCGAGGCGGGCGGGCACGGCGCCGCCCACCGCGAGGACGGCGGCGCAGCCGGTGCCCGGGCGGCGCATCGCCGCCCAGGGCCTTGCGCAGAGAGAAGCGCCGGCGTGGAGCCCGGCGGCCTTGGGCCAGCACGGCTGCAGAGGAGGTTGCCCGCCATGCACGCTCGGGTAGCACGGCGCTGCACCGCAACGAAGCTTAGGCTGGAGCGGTTGGTCCTCTATTTTCGGCCTCTGGGAGCCCCGGGCCTGCAAGAAGCGACTCGGGATGAAGGGCTGGCCCTGGGAAAAGGTCCAGACCGCCAGGGGCCCCGCACTCAGAAACTCCAAACATGGGATGTCTGCGGCCCGCACAGCTCTGGCGGGGAGGACGGGCGAAGGGAGAGGGTTTCTAAGAAGACAGGCGCCTATTTTCAAAAGGGCTCGGACACCCCGTCTGGGATCCGACACTACGAGAAATGCCCCGATCGGGAACAAGCAACAACAACAACAACAACAACAACAACAACAACAACAACAATCACTTTACCCGAACGCTCAGTGTTCTCACCAGTGCCAGGGTTTTCATGCGACGCCAGCCAATACCCCCACTTTGTGGGGGGGCAGTGCAAGCTCTACCAAATATCCACACGACTCTTCGCCACCACCCACACCCAGCTTCCCGCCCTATGACGTTCGGACACTTCACTTCGTGGCCTGCGGACGACCGTGGCTACTACACTGGCGTGGAGTACACACCCACAGAAGTTGTTAAGCCTACGTTCGTACACCCACAGAAGTTGTTAAGCCTTGTTAACCCACAGAAGTTGTTAAGCCTTCCACAGAACATCTGTTGCATATGATGCATATGGTACATGATACACATGATACACATGATACGTACTCACAAGATAGTTGATCACATCTTTAGGGCAAATTCCTGAGGGATGTGGGAATACACAAGAGAGAGAGGATATGGTTGTCCCGATGGTTGTCTCGATGGTTGTCCCGATGGTTGTCCTGATGGTTGTGGTTGTCCCGATCGTTGTCCCGATGATTGTCCCGATGGTTGTCCTGATGGTTGTGCTTGTCCCGATCGTTGTCCCGATGGTTTCGGACAGCGCGCGCGGGTGGAAATTTTGAAAAGTCGTGCAGGTGTTTTTCGAGGACCTACGGTGCGATTCGTGTGATTTTATGATGCGCGGTGCTAAAATTCTTAAGAACCCAATGGTTTTTGGAGATTTCGGCGTGCGCGCGCGAAGAAAAAACGAATGTGTCCCGCATGGTATTATTTGACAGGGATGATGGCCCTGGCAGGTGCGCAACCGTTGTCGCAGAAGTTCGAAAAAGTTGCTCGCAAAAGCCCGTTTGACAGAAATGTTTAAAAAGTGTTGGTTTCCTACGAATCCGCAAGAGCGCGCGGGATGAGATTTTGACATTTTTTTGTTGAAAAACCATTGGTTTTTTGATGTTTTTATGTTAAAATCGTTCCGAACACTAAGCTTTTGGAAGGATTTCGTCTTGCGCGCGCGAATGTCCACTTTACCTTATTTTTTGCAAGGGATTCTTGAAATTTGATTATATTAGAACAAGAAATGTCATTTTATAGTGTTTTTTGCAAGGGAAAACGGATTACAACAAAACAACCGGATCTTGATCACATCGTTTACCTGAGGCTTCCTCACGAAAATGATGAAAATGTAGCTGCGGCCTAGGCGGCGCAGGGGGGGCGCGCACCAGGGGGCCCAACAATAATTATTCTTTAGAATAAATAATGTTCAACAACAACAACAACAACAACAACAACAACAACAACAACAACAACAATTACTAGCACGTGGGGACACTCCGTTCTCACCAGTGCCAGGGTTTTCATACGACGCCCGCCAATACCCCCACTTTGTGGGGGGGCCGGTTCAAGCTCTACCACATTTCCAAACGACTCTTCGCCACCACCCACACCCAGCTTCCCGCCCTATGACGTTCGGACACTTCACTTCGTGGCCTGCGGACGACCGTGGCTACTACACTGGCGCATGGGTACAATGACTTGTTGTGGTAACATTTTCTGGACGCTAGCTTAGTATACGACTTTTCCCCCTGTTCCAATACTGGACACCTGTACCTACGAGGACCTACGGTGCGATTCGTATGATTTTATGTTGCGCGGTGCTAAAATTCCTAAGAAACCCAATGGTTTTTGAAGATTTCGGCGTGCGCGCGCGAAGAAAAAACGAATGTGTCCCGCATGGTATTATTTGACAGGGATGATGGCCCTGGCAGGTGCGCAACCGTTGTTGCAGAAGTTCGAAGCACGTGAAAAAGTTGCTCGCAAGAGCCCGTTTGACAGAAATGTTGAAAAAGTATTGGGTTTCCTAAGAAATCCGCAAGAGCGCGCGGGGTGAATTTTTGAAACCCTTTTTTTGAAAAACCATTGGGTTTTTCATGTTTTTATGTGAAAATCGCTACGAAGACTAAGGTTTTGGAAGGATTTCGTCTTGCGCGCGCGAATGTGCACTTCGTGCCATTTTTTGCAAGGGATTCTTGAAGTTTGGTCATGTTAGAACAAGAAATGTCCACTTTGCCTTATTTTTTGCAAGGGAAAACCGATCGTAACAACACAACCGGATCTGGTATACCCCGTTTTGCCTGAGACTTCCTCGCGAAAATGATGAAAATGTGGCTGCGGCCTAGGCGCGGCGGGGGGGGCGCGCACCAGGGGCCCCAACAATAATTATTCTTTAGAATTAATAATGTTCAACAACAACAACAACAACAACAACAATTACTAGCACGTGGGGACACTCCGTTCTCACCAGTGCCAGGGTTTTCATAGGAGGCGGGCAATACCCCCACTTTGTGGGGGGGCCGGTTCAAGCTCTACCAAATTTCCAAACGACTCTTCGCCACCACCCACACCCAGCTTCCCGCCCTATGACGTTCGGACACTTCACTTCGTGGCATGCGGACGACCGTGGCTACTATTCAGGGCCCCGCGGCCGACGACGACGGCGTGCGCGCGCGAAGAAAAAACGAATGTGTCCCGCATGGTATTATTTGACAGGGATGATGGCCCTGGCAGGTGCGCAACCGTTGTCGCAGAAGTTCGAAAAAGTTGCTCGCAAAAGCCCGTTTGACAGAAATGTTTAAAAAGTGTTGGGTTTCCTACGAATCCGCAAGAGCGCGCGGGATGAGATTTTGACATTTTTTTGTTGAAAAACCATTGGTTTTTTGATGTTTTTATGTTAAAATCGCTCCGAACACTAAGCTTTTGGAAGGATTTCGTCTTGCGCGCGCGAATGTCCACTTTACCTTATTTTTTGCAAGGGATTCTTGAAATTTGATTATATTAGAACAAGAAATGTCATTTTATAGTGTTTTTTGCAAGGGAAAGCGGGGGGGAACAAAACAACCGGATCTTGATCACATCGAATTACCTGAGGCTTCCTCACGAAAATGATGAAAATGTAGCTGCGGCCTAGGCGGCGCAGGGGGGCCGTGCACCAGGGGTCCCAACAATAATTATTCTTTAGAATTAATAATGTTCAATAATCATCTTAAGACTGATCGCTCTTATATGCGCGCGCGTCACTCAATATGTAAATCCCAAACCCTCGATACCCACCCTCTTCGTCTTCGGTCATACCCCTTTGGGGGTATATCTTTTTTACTCGCCACGTGTAGTTGGCGCAGCCCCTAAAACAGGAAGAGCAGGGGGAAGGAGGAAGGGAGAGCGAGGAAGAAAAGAGTGGGGGGAGGGAGGGAGGAGGGATCAAGAAGAATTATTCTTCAGTATTGAGAGGTCAGCAGGGCTCAATTGTGAGGGAGGTCCCAGGCGGGAGCGCCGCTCCCGGAGTAATGCGCGAGGAAGTCTCAGGCGGGAGCGCCTCCGCCTGAGTAAACTGCGAGGAAGTCCCAGGCGGGGGCGGGGGTCCTGAGTAAATGTGGAGGAAGTATCAGGCGGGAGCCGTTGTTGTTGTAGTCCGGGGGGCCAACAACACAGTTTGATGCTCAGTTGCGAAGGGGGTCCCAGGCGGGAGCACCGCTCCCGGAGTAATTTGCGAGGAAGTCTCAGGCGGGAGCGCCTCCGCCTGAGTAAACTGCGAGGAAGTCCCAAGCGGGGGCGGGGGTGCGGAGTAATTTGCGAGGAAGTCTCAAGCGGGAGCGCCTCCGCCTGAGTAAACTGCGAGGAAGTCCCAGGCGGGGGCGGGGGTCCTGAGTAAATGTGGAGGAAGTATCAGGCGGGAACCGTTGTTGTTGTTGTCCGGGGGGCCAACAACGCAGTTCGATGCCCACGACTTTCCCTGATAAAAAACAGGGTGCGAGCCCCGGAAGGGGCACTTCAATTGAAAAAAATACACTTTCCGCCGGACGGGGGGGATCAACAATAATTATTCTTCAATAGTTAGAATCCAACAACAACAACAACAACAACACCAACAACACCAACAACAACAACAACAACAACAACAACAATCACTTTACCCGAACGCTCAGTGTTCTCACCAGTGCCAGGGTTTTCATGCGACGCCAGCCAATACCCCCACTTTGTGGGGGGGCAGTGCAAGCTCTACCAAATATCCACACGACTCTTCGCCACCACCCACACCCAGCTTCCCGCCCTATGACGTTCGGACACTTCACTTCGTGGCCTGCGGACGACCGTGGCTACTACACTGGCGTGGAGTACACACCCACAGAAGTTGTTAAGCCTACGTTCGTACACCCACAGAAGTTGTTAAGCCTTGTTAACCCACAGAAGTTGTTAACCCACGGTGCGATTTCGTGTGATTTGATGCGCGGTGCTAAATTCTTAAGAACCCAATGGTTTTTGGAGATTTCGGCGTGCGCGCGCGAAGAAAAAACGAATGTGTCCCGCATGGTATTATTTGACAGGGATGATGGCCCTGGCAGGTGCGCAACCGTTGTCGCAGAAGTTCGAAAAAGTTGCTCGCAAAAGCCCGTTTGACAGAAATGTTTAAAAAGTGTTGGGTTTCCTACGAATCCGCAAGAGCGCGCGGGATGAGATTTTGACATTTTTTTGTTGAAAAACCATTGGTTTTTTATGTTTTTATGTTAAAATCGCTCCGAAC